CATTACGGAGCCACTCTCATCTACGCTTGATTGTCGCTATCGAGCAAGCACTCTCGATTGGATTCGAATCCAGAACCCGTATTAATAGACATACCGCGGTGTGGACGAGGTAAGGAGAACCCCGCTTGGTTACACGGTCACAAAGCAGCTATGTTCAATGATGAATTATTTCGATACTACACGTAAATACAATTATAGCTTCAAGATGAAATAAATCCGAGATCCAGCCTGGCCAGACTGCCACCTAGATCATGGGGATACCGGCCAAATCTAGTAACCCTCAGATCAAACGAATGAAAGCTATATAATACGTGTATTTCCAAAGTCCCAAAAGTGTTTAGCTTAAAAGAATGGTTATGCACTCGTAGGCTTTACTTGAATGAATTAGAAGCTCATCAACCTCTTTACCCAGCTTAATATCAAAAAAGTGGATCTTAAACTTATGAACACACAGATAAACTAGATAAATCAATGGACAAAGTAGCAGTTAACTGATGAGCCTCCTGACACTTACTAAATTTTTGAGATCGACTCTTCAACTCAAATTAAACCGATTATGTGGCATGCGTACTCAAAGGGATATTTGAGGTTAGCCAGATCAGATGGTCGAGTATGAATAAGATCTAAGTAAAGATAAGGATGTTAAAGCTGGATTGTATTGCTGAAACGCTTACTTGAAAACTAAGGCTGGAGGATCAGACAATGTGCGGGAATAACTGTAAAAAATGCAGTGCAATTGGGGATAGGAATTCCCAATATTATTTAATCCATTACATATCAGGCGAAGATCTCGAGGATGATTCAAATATTCAGCCTGACCAGAAACATTAAAAATGAAATATAAAGAGCCGCATCTAAGTTATTTATTTAATTGGGTGTATAACAAGATAATCGCGGAAATTAAGTAATAGATTACCTTAAATCAATGTGCACAAAATGTAAAATGCAACAACCGGTTTCAGATTAAAAGAATCCTATGCCAGAGTAAATATTGTTCACAGAGTAAATCTGGTAATAAAAAAAGGAAACCGAAGCTGCAGAGATAGATACAGCGACTCGGCAGTGGATTTAAACGGTTGATAGAAGGCTATTAACCAAGAAGGGATAATACATCCATCATAAGAAAATATCGAAAATAAGCAGGCTTTCGTAGTCGTCGAACAATCAAGTGTAAAATGATATACGTAAGCACAAGGGGTGTTATTTTGTGCGTACAATAGCAAGAAAGTTTATAGAAAACAATATACAATGTTACGACCTGATATTGCAGGAAAGCGTCTGATAAAATGAATAGGATAATTTTTTTGTTGTAAAAGGCACGTTGTTTAGAGACTGAAGATGAATGCTGACGTTTGCAGTTGACAACCAACTAACTCAGACGTTACATAGATATTGATTAGAGTTAACAAATAGCAAAGGAATGCTTTAATAGTGTGTTAGACTAAATTCCGATATAAGCAAATCAAATTGTGGAAAATTACATCCAACATTTTATTGGCGTGAGCTAGTCATATAGCTAGCGAACTTTTGCTTCGATATCATCCTCATCATCGAACTTGAGACAGGCAATGTTTTCCATAATCTGCGACCGAAGCTGGGGTAGCGCCGCAACTCGATCATAGAAATCATCCAACCTATACTTGTCAAAAATAGCCTGGCATATCGAGTAAAAAATAACTTACTCTAAATTTTGAAGGTGAATTCTGCCTGTAAGCCGCCTTAGCAAGTATACGAATAGGTTCCGTTATCTCTTCCAAAGTATATCCGCTCAAAAAACTTAACGAATTCTGCCATGCTTGGCCTAAATCACAAGTATGCAAGTGTAGAGCTCTAGCTAAACAGATGGCCACAGTTGCCTTCAAATTTCCAGGGAGATGACAGAGTTCGTATTCTTGTATTGTCAATTCAAGTAGGTATTTGGCTATATTATGCAATTGTCGATCAGCCTAAAAATGGCATCAAAATATAACTTACATCGAGAGCTCTCGACAAACGCCGCAAAAACATGATAGGAAGTGGAATCGACAGGAAAAAATCAACGCTTTGCAAGATAATCTGCTCACAATGCCTTATTTCCTTTTTCGAATATGTACTTTCTGTAACAGACGAAAAGTCATCGATCTCAGGCGGAAACATCTCTTCGAATTTCGAGGCAATAAATAAGGCAGTTATACCAACCAGTTGGAATTTATCTTTAGAAATGCTAACACCAGCATTTTGGAGATATCTGTCCATGAGTGCAATGGCAAGATATAGAGTTTCCGGTTGCATTTTGTAATTTTGATGTACTTGAACAATCCAATTAACAAGAATGTAGCGCATCCTAGGCGTTATATCCTTACACTTCTGCATAAAATCAAAGGATAAAGGTTGAATAGCGAGCTCTCGGTCTTGCAAGTAGTTATAGATAGATTGAGAGAACATGCAGACTGTTGCTTCATCATGAAAATCAATTGGTTCAACGTGTAAAAGTTCTTCGTCGGCGAG